CATAAATGGTCCGACCAGGTTAGAATAGTAAACAGAATTCACTGCTGAAGTATATTTTCTGACTGGTCAGAATACAAACAAGCATTAATGCTATGATCTGTAGCATAGCAAGCACAAGAAGAACTTGAAGTTGCATGAAAGATATACACTGTTCAATTCCCATTACTAGAATTATGGGATGAGGCACTTTGCATGTAATTTTCAGAAGTTGAAGCCATATCAGTTGCTGTCTTTTGTATTGTTTCAGGTGTGTGGGTATTGAGGTGAGGGGAAAACACTTATAATGCTTGATTTGATAAAGAAATTATCTGCTGCTTTTGTAGTACAGTTTTGCTGTCTGCAGTACTGCTTTCCTGCACTTTCATTTTAAAGGTTCAAAGGTTCTGAATGGAGGGTCTGAAGCCCAGGACACCAACCAGTTACAACACAATGGAGAAAGCGCTGAGGAAAAGAAAGATAGACATGAAGTTGGCAGTAAGAAAAAGTGAGTTAATAACATTGCTGAGCTGAGGTTCTGTTCTGCTCTAGCTTAATGATGTAAAATAGAACAGCAGTAGATTGAGGTGACTTAACCATGTTGGCATATTGTTTTCTTCACTGAATTTTGTCTCAACTTCAGAGAATGATAATAGCAAGTAAATCTTCTGTTTAAGTTTTGAATTTACATTTTAAAAGTTATCTCAGTCACTGCTGTGGTGGAGACTTAACAAAATTCCACGATGTCCTGTTGTAGGAGAGAATCAGCATGTGGTGGGACAGGGCAAAGTAAAAGCTTTTTCCTTTATTTTATACTACTCAATGCTATTAAGTTGGAAGCAAAGGAAGCCTGAACCCAATCTTATAGAAACTAATGGGATTTATTAATTTTTTTGTGAATTCATGTATTCTCATCAATAGCCAAGCTGCTTTAATTAGTATTCTAGAGTATAGCTATAGAATTGCTCAAATGCAGATAAACTGCAGGCTAGAACATAGACCTGAGAAATTCCAGAACTTTGAATACTTATTGATGCACTTACCATTTCCAGACAAGAAGTCCTAAGAGTGCTTGAATTTGTCAGGAGGTTAAGTATTTAAACCTTAGTCTTACTAAAGAATGCTGTTTTGTAAACAGAACAGGCAGTGAATCTCTTACAGCATATGGAGAAACACACAACAGAATGTAGCTTTATGCAGGTCAGGAGAAACTGCAGCTGCCTGGCGGGTTTTTTTTGGCTGTTTGCCAAGTTAAAACTTCAGATGAGTGGGATATTGACCATTATTACAGTAAGGTAAACTTAAACACAACAAAACAAAAAAGACCCTTAAGATGAAAATTAATTTGGTATTTGATATGAGGTGTCCTCAGAAGTACTGACTTCTGATTATACAGCTTTCAGAAGTTTGGGAGTTTTCAACGAACGATGCCAAATATTCATTTGGTCTGAGCAAGCAGCATGCTACAGGAAAATAGTGGAGTCGCAAGTGTAGGTTCCTCATGCAGGTTAGACATTGTAACCTGCTGCTTAAATAAGTGATTTGGCCAAATCACACAGTGTGGTACTAATAAGATGCAACACTCAAATTACTTGGCATTAACACCAAGGCAGTTCAGGTGTTCAGTTCTATTCCTCTAATAGAATATACTTGGCCAAGTATTTAAAAAAAACCCAACTACTAAACTTGCTTGTCCAGGGTAGAATATTTTCATGTCCTGCTTCTTTCCTCGTTCTTCTTCTAGAACCTGACAACACTTGGATTTTTGAGTGGCAGGAAGACAACCTCAGTCAGATTGCCCTTTATATTTGTGATTAAAAGAATTAAGAATATTTGGGTGCATGTTTGACACCTCAATGGACATTGGTCAAAAGAAATGTAAGGCCAGTACTCCAGACCGTTACACAACATGCCTGGAAAAGGCTGTTGCATATAGAGTTTCAAAAAAGTAACTTTGAGGCAAGACAATTTCTACCTTTAATACTTCAGTAATTGTGATTGTGTCTGTAGAACTTGCAAATATATTTTCCATGAATGAGCTAGTGAGGGTATCATGTTCTGCTAATAAACATTTATATCATTAAGTGTATGTGATGTTTGCTATGGCTTTGAATTCTGTACTCTTGACACAGTCAAAGTCTTTCATAAACACTGAAAGAAATCCACTTTACAAAAAAAAACTTTATGGCTACTTGAGCACAGTCTCTTTGAACTTATTGTTGGCTAACAGCTGTAAACCAGATTTTATAACACCTCATGCAAACACTTACATATTGAGAAATACATCCACATACCTGCTCTGAATTCAAGCATGCTCCAGACTCTCCATCATACAAACTTCCTTTCATTCAGTGTTTTTCATACATTTTTATTTGCAATATTCAGTTGCTTAGAAGTGAGACACAAGTAAGCAAAATAAGTATTATCAATGTTAAAAACACCTGTGTGTTTCCCACTGCTGACTCTAAGCATATGGTTTGTAAACCTCTTCAATCACAGGGCTGTCCTTTCAATTCTGAACTTTTCTCCTGATAGAGGGGAGATATGTCTGTACCTTTCTGAAGAGGTACTTCAGAAATTTTGGAAGACTGAAGTTGTGTAACGTAATATTTCTGAACTGATTGGCACTTAAGAACATCTTTCAGTTCTTATTTGTTAAAAATACATACTGCTCCCTGAAGTTACCTGTGTTTGGGAGACAGCGGATTGATTATTTCTGGCTACGCAGGGACATGTGGTAAGGTATGTTAAGCCAGAGCACTTTTCCACCTAAACTGACATACCTTTGACAGCAGACTGGGGATAATTGCTTGATTGGAATACAAATCGAGTTTTGAATGACTGCTGTTCACAGCCCATCACATACATCAATAGTGATGCCAATCACTACCATCTTAGCTTCAGATATGAGGGCCTAGGGTTTTATATGATACTACAGCTGGTATCACTACCAGCCTCCTTGTCCAAACTTCATCTACTGTGATAAATGTGCATCAGCATTGCTTGCTCTAGACTGTACAGTCACATGGAGTAAGTCTTGCTTACTGCATTTTTTATGGTCAATGATGTTGCATTATTTTGTTTCTAGGACATGTGAAGAGAGAGAGCTTGAAAAGACAGCAGATGATTCTGCCTTTGAAAACAAATGACATCACAGGAGCTTTTTTTTTTTGAATTACAAATTAAAGAGGATTGTTAAGTTTTGCATTTGAAATCTATAGACTGCTGAAATTCTAAATAATTTTATAAGCATAGTATTTTAAAGTTAAATTTTGTGGAATAAAAGCCCCTTTAGTCTTGGTTTTAAAGTATGTAAACACTTTTGCCAGTAGTTTTATCCAGTATTAACAGGAAACACATTTCAAAAGTCAAAAATCCCAGTTAGAAGGCAAATGCTTACACATTACAGGACTTAGAGTTGTAGTATATTTTTTAACTTACAATTGTATGTTTGTCTAGCTAATAGCAGGAAAAAGTGTAAATACTTCTAATTCTCCAATTGCTTCATTTGTATAAAATCTCCTCTCTTCCTATGATACTGACCTCTGTTTGTGCATAGGTTTTCAACTCTTGCTGGGGATGTCTTTTCACTGTGTTTTGTAGGAGTTGAAAGCAGCGGTTTTGTAGCTGTTACAATGTTAATGTATGAGTATACCTAATTGTTTTTTTTAAAATAAGTCTAGTTCTGTTTTTGCAAAATGCATTGTGCCAATTTACTGTAATGTGGCTGTATGGTATGCTTTTGGTATAGTAAGTATACTGGAAAGAGTTGTGGTGTTCTCACAGAACCTGTTGATGCACAATGGTTGGAAAACAGTGTCTTGAACAATTTATGGAATTAAAGAATTTAATAAAGAGAGACTTGTGTAGACAAAACCATTCATAGGAACAATGAGAGTCTGATTTTAGTACTAATTTGATTTTATTGTTTTGGCATTAACTTGGGGACATCTAACTTGAATTTTAACAGAAACACTGGTAAATTATTTTAAGAAAAGTTCCTGAAGGCATGAAAGGGAACACAACAGCTACAAGTTTCTCTGAAAGCTGTTTCTGAAACATGCACTTTGCCTGATATCAGAACTAGGAACAACCTGTGTGTGGTATTTGATAGCAGCCAGCCGGGTTAAAAATTAAAGAGTTTAATAGTCCTAAGAATCTTCAGAGAATCACAGAATATCTTCAGTTGGAAGGGACCCACAAGGATCATCGAAGTCCAGCTCCTGGCCCTGCATGGGTCACCCCAAGTCACACCATGTGCCTGAGAGTATCACCCAAATGCATCTTGAAATCTGTCAGGCTTGGTGCTGTGACCACTTCCTGGGGAACCTGTTCCAGTGCCCAACCACTCTCTGGGTGAAGAACCTTTTTCTAATATCCAACCTAAACCTCTCCTGACACAACTTCAGGCCATTCCCTTGGGTCCTGTCACCAGTTACCACAGAGAAGAGATCAGTGTCTGCCCCTCCTCTTCCCCTCACAAGGAAGTTGTGACTGCAGTGAGGTCTCCCCTCAATCTCCTACAGGCTGAACAGACCAAGTGACCTCAGCTGCTCCTCATACGGCTTCCCCTCAAGGCCCTTCACCATCTTTGTTGCCCTTCTTTGGACACTCTCTAATACCTTAATATCTTTCTTATATTGTGGTGCCCAAAACTGCACACAATGTTCAAGGGGAGGCCACCCCACTGCAGAGCAGAGCAGGACAATCCCCTCCCTTGACCAGCTGGTGATGCTTTGCCTAATGCCCCCCAGGACATGGTTGGCCCTCCTGGCTGCCAGGGCACTAATGACTCATATTCAACTTGCCATCAGCCAGGACCCCCAGGTCCCTTTCTGTGGCACTGCTTTCCAGCATCTCATTCCCCAGTCTGTATGAACATCCAACATTGCCCCATCCCAAGTGCAGAATTCATCACTTTCTAGTGTTGAACTTCATATCGTTGGTGATTGCCCAGTCCTCTAATTTGTCGAGGTCTCTCTGCAGGGCCTCCCTGCCTTTTAGGGAGACAGCAGCTGCTCCCAATTCAGTGTCACTGGCAAACTTAATTGGTATTCCTTCAAGTCCTGCAGCCAAGTTGTTAATGAATATAGTAAAGAGAACTGGGCCTAAGATGGAGGCCTGTGGAACCCCACTAGTGACAGGTCACCAGTATGATGTCACCCCATTCACTGTGACCCTCTGTGTTCCACCCATGATCCAATTGCTCACATACACATCCTGTCCCTATCCAGCTGTGTGCTGGACATTTTGTCCAGAAGGATCCTGTGAGAGACAGTATCGAAAGCTTTACTGAAATCCAAAAAGATTACATCAACTGGCTTCTCTTGATCGACTGTGTGGGTTACCTTGTCATAAAGTAAATCAGGTTGGATAAGGAGTCTCCTCTCCTGAAGCTGTGCTGGCTCTGACCAATGCCTGCATTGTCCTTCAGGTATTTTTCAGTAAATTCCAGAATAAACTTCTCCATTACTTTACCAAGCACTGAAGTGAGACTGACAGGCTTGTAGTTTCCAAGGTCATCCTTCTTGCCCTTCTTGACAACATTAGCCAGATTCCAGTTCATAGGACCTCTCTGAATTCCCAAGACCATTCAAAAATCGTAGCAACCTTGCAATGGTATCAGCCTGCTCTTATGAATACTCTTGGATTAATCCCATCAGGTCCCATAGATTTCTAGGGATCCAGCTGGAGCAGTGGATCCCACACAATTTCAAAGTTGACTGGGAGTTGATCATTCTCACAGTCATGGTCCTCCAGTTCAGGGCACTGAGACCCCCGTGGGCCGTCATAGGTGTTGAAGACGGAGGCAAAGAAAGCCTCTGCCTTGTCTCTGTCCCTGTTTGTGAGGTGAGCATCCTCATCCTGTAACAAGCTGATGTTTTTCTGCACTGCCTTTTGCCACTGACATATTAAAGAAAAACCCTCTTTTTATCACTCCCACATTTCTGGCCAGCTTCAACTCCAGTTGAGCTGTGGCTGCATGAATTTTTTCCCTACAGTGTGAAGCAGCATGTCTGTATTTCTGCCATGTTGCCTTGTCCATGCTTCCACTGGGCATACACATTTCTTGGTCTGCCTTGGCTCCCAAGAAAATTCCTGCTCAGCCAAGCTGGCCTCCTGTCTCGCCTGGCTGGCTTACTTGAAATTGACTGCTCCTGTGCTCTAAGGAGGTGGTATTTACAAAGTGACCAGCAGTGATGGACCCAAATCTTGTTATGGGGTTATCAGGGAAGGCAACAGTGTTCCAGCTGTGTGTATCACCTTGTATTGTGTCACCTTCGAGTCAGGAACAGTAAAGTATGATTACAGCCTGGTGGAGACCAGTAGTTCAGAATCCTTAACTGGCACCATTCAACAAGGAAGAGTTTCCAGTATTGAACCATGACCAAAACAGCATAGTATCCACTACTGAGAAGTCACATTATTTCTTGTTTACATGCCTTGCAAATTGCTGCCATGGCCTCTTCAGTCAGCCCACCTGGATTTTTTATTGTTCTTTTGTTCTTACCCATGGTATGGAGAAAGGGGATTCCTCATAAATAAAACAAGGTAAACAGACTTTCCTCATTTCAAGATCAGCAGCTTGGTACAGTCTTCACTTTTGTTTGCAGTTGTGCTCTTACAGAAGTGCCAAGCAGCTTGATATTCAGTAATAGGAAAAAGCAATTCCAGCAATCCATACATCACAACCAGGTGAAGGTCAGTAGCTTCAGCACTGCTTTCAAACTTCTGTGTTTTCCAGAATCTGTAAGTGACAGATTTATCTTGAAAATAATGGTTTTTTTCACTGAAATTATGCCCTTCTATGAATTAACTTCTTATTCTCTTACCTCCTAATTTGGAGAGATGAAACTACTTTTTCTTTTGCCTCTCCCCCCTTTTTTTTAACAAACTAGAATAGTAAACTGCATAACAGTTCTAGGATTGTAGCCTGAACCTCCACTTCACTTCCATGGTTTACAAAACAAAAAAATCCCCACTAGTGACCAGAGGCACAGAAAAAGTCATGAAAAGCCTGAAATCAGAACTTAGTACCTGACCCTCACTGGAGAAATAGTATTATGTTTATTGTGTTCAAAAATGCTATTTAGATATCTTTGCAACTTTGCACTTTTTTTTAATATGTAACAGTGGATGGGTTTTTTTCCCCATGCTAAATATGCCACTCCAGAGACCAGTGGTGTCTCCACACATAAGCTGCTGCTGGTGTCTGTTTGGAGTAGTTTCACTGAAGTTTTACACAGCATTACAGGTAGATGAATTAACTCCTTCTATAGGCTGTCCCTAAGCACAACACATTGTGTTTATTTTTGGTCTTAATACTCTGTACACTGGCTGTAATGTTAAGATGAGGCAGGATTGTGGGTCTGGTAATGTGGAAAAGCCAACAGAAGAGTATTTATTTCAACATTCAAACAACACTGTTCACCAGCAGCTGGATTTATGGAGCCATTTGCTCATTTGTACTGCAGACTTCTTAATATTAGAACATGCTGCATGCTTTCTAAACGTTTCCTCACTGTATTGAGGACTACAAATTGCATACATTTTTTCATCATTCCGTACTACTCTGTTGTCATCTCTGTCAAGATAGAAGCACATGGACATTCAGGCATCTGTACCAGTCTTAACAAAAACACTATTTGTCCATAATTACAAACTGGTACTATTTCCACTCTACCTGTGTGAAGTTGCAAGCCATCTAAAACTCTCTTTTCACTGCTCTGTCAATCAAATGGGGAAGAGATGCTAGATGTGCCTGGGGAAAGCCTCACGCTCATGAATGACTGCACAAAACACAGTGGCAGTCAGTTACAGTAGCACTTTGTAGGAACACCTTGGCTGCCTTGGAAATTAAAGTCCCAAGCTGCAGGCACTTACAAAGGTTAATGATTAAATACTGAAGCCTCTTTACAAGCAGAACCCACTGCTTACTGATTACTGGAAGTTAAAACTCGTCGATGTTTCAGTTCAAAGCAGTATAATTAAGATTTTGAATACAGCAGTTTCCCACACAAAGTAAAAAACATGCAAATAGTTACTAAATGCTAAAATCACTTGCAAAGCTTTTCGTGTGCAAAATGAGTATGTGCTTGTGTAATGAAATGGAAGGTGTTTATATACTCAAAATGAATAGCCTTCAGGTCTTGAAGACGGTACCTCAAGTCAAACCTGCAAGTTCAGTCACCACAGCAGCTCCCCAGTATGAAACTGTCTTTGGCAGATGGCCACAATAATTGGCCTCCAAAGATTTTGAGTTTTGGCAGTTTCTAGCACTTCATAATAAACTGCTCTTCAGGGGAGCTACTGACATGGCTGCACAGCTGACCATCAGACAAGCAGCATTCTCATTCAGTTTCCAAATACAGATAATTACTATACACCGTATTTTTCATGTTTCCACATTAGTCCCGAGGTGTATTTTATTGAAACCTTAAGAAACTAAAACAACTTTCACTGTAACCCTTGAAACTTTTTGTAAAGATGTTAATGGAAATCCTCACATAAGCACTTTTCAATTTTGACCATCCCTTTGTATCAAGCCCCTTATACAAAAAAAAAAAAGAGGTACTGTGTTATTGACAAGGATGCCAAATCCACCTAATTTTCACAAAAGTGTTTTAAAACTAACACATCTGTTTCAGAGATAATGGGTCCCCATGCTGCTGCTTCAGTTGAGATGGATGCAGAGATAAAGCTCCTGATTGTGTCATACTCTGTCCATGCAGCTGCTTGGGCTTTTACTGCCTGAATTTACTGCCTGTTTACAAACCAGAACTAACCTAAATTCACAAAATCTGACTGACTGACTGACTTGGAAGGTCATCTCACCTTCCAAGATGCCTGAGTGTCCTTGAACTGTGTCTCTTGAAAGATACAAATATAATTTATCAGAGTTGAGACCGACTAGGCAGTCAAGTCTCACAAGGAATAAGGCTGATTCTTTCTGAAGAAAGAAATCACAGCTATGCACAAAATTTAAAGCAAAGTTAGCTTTGACAGCAGCATCCCTACTTCAAGAATCAAGTTCACTACAGCTTAAAATACTGTGCAACCCTATTGAGTTGCTCATCATTCAAGTACATGGGGCTTTTGGGGTAACATTACAAGTGCCAGGTTACCACTGGGAAGTGACACTGTATATATGAGTCACACTTTGTTTTGGAACTTCACAGCAGCAGTAAATCAGAGGGACATCTCCTCTTCCTCAATACAAGAAACAGAGTTTTGTATCACCATCTTGTCAGCAAGGCAAAAACTTTGATGAGGGAAAGAATCTCCAAGACCTTTGGGAAGTTTGAAATAACTTGAAAAGGTTCATGCTGCCTAATCACCAAGTGTTTAAAAAAGATCAAAGCAAAAAGCCAACCACAGGTTCAGGTTAATGCTTTTTAGATTAAACTACTAAACACACAGAGAAGGGATTATTAAAAAAAAAAATTCTCATTTTACATCATGAACTAATAAAGCTGCTTTGAAGTTCTGATCACCAAAAAACTCACAGCATTTAACAAGTTGCTAAAACACAAATACCCAGCTGGTGTCATAAAAACTTAGTTACAGACACTGAGTGCTATGCTGGATTTCACTCAGAGGACTAATTCAGAAAGACACGTCAAATCAAGACCAGACCCAGCTGTCCTGTGACAGCTTCTGGGAAGTATCTTTAAAACCTATGACTTCATGTAACCTTTTTGTTTCCTTTGTTATTTAAATTAAATCATTAAATATGAAGCAGGACCAGGTCACACAAACAGCAAGCTTTTAATAAGAGTTCTTTGTTTTGTAGTTAAGCACTGAATGCCCCTAACTCCCACACCCAGAGTGTAGCCAGCTTCTCTCTGCCTGACTGGAAGTATGGCACTGGCCCTCTAAAATTTCTTAATTTGCAGGGACACCAATTATGAAATATATTTGACAGCAACTTTTTTAATGGAAAGAAGGTAAGTGGGTTGGGTGAGAGAGCATACTGAGGCAAATTATTTTAATGAAAGAATAAATTCACATTTTGGCCACTCCCTTTTGCCTACAGCTAAAGGAAGAAACCCCCAGACAAAAACCTGACTGCACAGAACTTATGCTGAACTCAGCATAAGAAGCCATCAAACAAGCAAACAATATATTTAGAAATTATGCTGTCTTTATGATCCAAGATCCACTGAAGAGGACTGGGAAGTCCATATATTTCTGGGAGACAGCTGAAAGAGGAGGTGGTGGGGGAGAGATGAAGAGTAGCAGCTTATGAGGCAAATACTGAAGTTGCAGTTGCAACCAGAGCTCTGTTGCGGGGGCTTTTTTAAACATCAGCACCACAAAGCAGTCTAGCTTCAACAGCTGAACTTGCAACAGTTGTGGTGGGCAAGGCACTCTGTTTTTTGCAGATTCCTGTAGGATAAAAGAACTATCACCACCTGCTGTTATCAGTGCTTGATGTACTAAAATACATAGACCAACAGCTGGCTGGCTTACAAGCAGAAAAAAAAAACTAACCTTTTTTCTTTTGTTCCTAAAAAAAGCACAGATTTATATTCATGTGACCTAATACACCACCAGAAAGCAGAGAGGTATGTGAGTGATCACTGGAGTCCTGCAAATGCTCAAGATACCTTTGTTTCAGGACATCTAAGATAATCAAGTAAGCTCTGGCAGAATCTGCAGCTACAGGACCTGAACAGAATTCAGTTTGTCACTTTGCTGTATGCAGATTGTCAGAGTAAGCTGTCTTTACACTAACGAGAATTAGCTGAGGTTTTCAAAAGAAAAGCAGTTAGCACTACAAACTTTCCTAACTTGCAAAGAACTCCAGTAATAATCCTCTTAATTCCAGAAGACTTTAAAAAAAAAGTACATTCTGTCTTGACAGAGCTTCAGCTTAACATCAGACTACAGGAAGTACAAATTGGTCACATTTTAATAAAAAATGTCATTACTTACAGTAACAGAATGATACTTAAAAAAAAGCGCACAGTGAACACTGTGCACTGTAAACAGTTAACAAAATTATTTGAAAGGCAGGCTACAGTTCATTAATCAGTGAAATGTAGTTTACTCTTCACAGAATGAGTCCTCAGAGTCACAAACCGCAGACAGCAGTAGTTTACAGATTACAAGCACCCCCATTTGCAGGCAAGACCCAAGAATTTAACCATCCATTCTGAGCTGCTTTCTCAGAAAGCATTCTCCTCCCTACAAATTCAGTGCCCTGCACCCTTGTTCATAGATGATGAGTTTTCAAGGTAAGATGTCCATGTTCTCATCCTGGGAGGTTTACAGATCCTTGGATGCACAGAACTTCTCAAAATCATGGCTCTTTTGCCAGGCATTCTCTTCTTAAACATCTGTATTTTTAGTGCTGTAATGTTGTAAAAGTGTATTATATTTTTCCATGCTAACTTAACTTTTACAATCAGAAAGCATAACAGAACGACTTCAAGTGCAAAGGGCTCCTTCCACCTCAGGTGGTTACAAACCTAACCCAAAACCCAGCAGTATGCTCAAAACTCAAGCTCTCCAGTGGTTTTAACAGCCAGACCAACAGATTCAACAATGTAGTTTCACTGAATTCACTCTGGCACACGGCAGTTTCAGTTGAAAATCCCAGGATCAACATAAGGATATGCAAGAAACTCCCCCAGTTTATTGCCTTCTGCATCGTAATGGAGCATCCGAAAACAAACATCACAGAAGAAACAAGGATCCTCTGGTGCCAGACTGTCTCTGTTGGTTACCCACCTGCAGGTTACAAAACACAAGTGTTTTTCATGAGTCCAACATGTTTGTGACAAATATCTCAACATTTTACTCACAGTTGGGGATGGCAGCACTAAACATCAGTAATACTATACAGAACAGGTACTACTGATATTGCATATTTCCCACCCCAGGCATACAGCTTATTTCCAAACTCCACACCCATTCACTGTCAATCCCAGCTGCTACAGCAGCACTTCTGAGGAATTCCTCAAACCTGCGTAGCTGGTGGAGTGCCTCAGAATAAAAAATTAAAAGGAATCTTCTGTCCACCCTGTGGCCATTAAAGTCACCCTGTTTTCCATTAATGTAAGAAACTGTGATACAGAGCAGACATGACTGACCTAAACTACTTCGAGAAGTAACCAAATCCATTTATGAGTCTAAAAGTAGGACCTGGATGATGCAGACAAGAAAGACAAGGAGAGGACTGCTGCACACTCCACAAGCACTGAAGTTAACATGAACACAAGTTAACATGTAAAAGGAGGGCCTACCATATCACTGAGCAACTAATTTATGCTAGCACTCTAAAGGTCATAACAGCTGTAGTGATTACAGATGCTATCTGAAAAGATCAGAACACACAGGACAGCCAGCCGAAGCAGCTCTGCTGACCATGGTTTATCATGTCCTCACTTATGCTTAGTGCATAATTCTGGTTTTAATTTCATGAATTTACACCACCTCTGGTAATGTCCTTCCCACCCCATCTTTCCACCATATTGACCCTTTGGCTCCACCTCCCCTTATGGCCAAATGCCTCCCAGATTACAGCCACTTGTGAAGGCATCCTAGGGGCTCTTCTAGGAACACTAGGATGGGCTCCCATCACAAAGGGAATTGGCTCTTTGCCTGATTCCAGGGAAGTCTAAGGCCAAACGAGGAAGATAGCAAAGATGCAGCTGCTGTGTCAAACTAAGGCTGAGAGCATAAGCTCCCCTGGGGGGAAAAAAAGGGCAAAAGGTGATTTTGCAAATAAGTCTTTCCAACCTATAAAATCAGGGAGCCTAGCCTAGTCTATAAAACTCTTTCAGAGGACTTTCCACTGTCTATTGGAAGTCTTTTTCATATCTAAATTAAAGAGTATAAAGAGCACCATATTCACATTCTCCTCTCTTAACTGCAGAAAATCTGCATCACAAAAAGTTCCTTCAAGTACTACAGAGCACACAGTTTTCAGGTAGAGGTTAGGAGATTCCTGTGGAAAAAGTTGCATGCCTTTTAAAAATCTCTAGATCTTATTATATTAGACAGATCTATTCTTGCTTAGATGCTAGATTAAACAAAAGCTCCATATGACTTCTGGTAAATGAACTTGCAACACGTCTTGCAGAGGGGGAAAATGCAGCATTAGTTTCAAAAGTAACTGATTGAGAGCCAAGCTCTATGTATGCAACAGAATGTGAGCCAAATAATTAGCCTTTTCATCATTTCAGTTCTTTTGAACCTCCTGAATCATCAACCCCAAATGAACGCTACCTGCGGGAGGCCTTTTCCTGGTTAGAGAGAGAACAACTGCTCAAAGAGTGAAGATTATTATTATCGTTATTATGAAATACATACAGAGCTTTGATTTCTACTTCAGCAGCACCTAGAGAGACTTATTTAAGAAGATAACAGAATCAAGAATGTAGCATACCTTGCTGTGTACATTTTGCACACAAAGCATTTTCTGGTACATAGCCAGTGTTTCTTGATTAGCAAGGGATATAGGTTCCTGTCCAGACAGTCATCACGATGAATGAGCCTTGAGGGAAATACATAATATACAATAAAGACTCTGCCACATTGGAATTTATCTGATAATAAGCACAGACATTGAATATGGTATGATTTAGATTCCTGTGTAAACTCTGACTAGATTTCTGCTTAACATTCCTTGACACAGAAGAAAATCTGGAGATAGACTGCTACTTGTACCACCTGTGCATTTTATGGTCACAAGTAAACTCAGTTTGCACAGTAACTCAGAAGTCTTCAGACCATCTCCTGTATATGGTCTTTTCAAAGCTTTTCTCTCCTACACAGGCTAACAGACTATTACCAGGTGAATCTCTAGAGGTTCATAATCCTGAGATCATCTACTTGCAACACCTATACCATTCTTTGAGTTGTATTCCTCTTGGGAGGCACTATATATTATCAATGCTTTGGTACATCAGGCTCCTGGGAACTGAAAATGACCTGTCACCCACTACAGACAATCCAAGGAGTGCTCTCTACCCGTAATGCACTGAGCAGAGTATACACCATTGTTCTACTGTTGATGTGGTGCCACCTCACAGTCATTACCACCACCTCCTTCTCCTTCCTGCCTATCCACTTCAGCCCACTATTTCAACTCCTCTGTTTCCTTTTCAGTTCCTGCCCCTTAGCTTCAAGTTCACGCTAACTAGCCCATTTGAGTCCAGCCAGAGCCTACACCATTCCGCTCCCTGCCATTCCAGAGTCAGTATGTATATCTGCCACACACTGGCTCTGCATAAAAAGAGCTTTCCCCTGTGAGTGCCATTCCTGTCATATAGCAGTCATACCATGCTAATTAGGAAGCAGTCTTTTTATGCAAAGGAAAACAAAAAGCAAGGAAGATTACTCTATTTCAGAGATACTCACATGTATATGGAATAAAAATTTTAATAAGCCCTGAAGAAGGCAGCAGAATAATCTTAAAGTTAATAAGTTGGTCTAACAAATATTTGGCGTTTCATGTCTGAAGTTTGTCCACAGAAGGCTTGCTTTCATTTGCATAAGGACTCCCAAAGAACAGTAACTTACCTTATATCTGTGATTATAATGATGTGCTCACAGTTCCCTTGGTGGCAGAAAAGGTATGGAAAGCCAATTTTAAGGGACACATCATTAAATACATAGTCCTCCATTTTAACAGACTGAAGATTTTCATAGCCTCTGTCATGAGATTCTGACCACTCTATAATTGTTCTGAAAACAGAAAGGCAATCAGCACAGCAATGCTATGAACTGTGAATGCACAGAAAAAGATGCCTTGGGGGGACATGCAAGACTCTTCACTGAGACCAGTTAAATGACGTAAATCAAAACAACTGACAAGATTTTGTAATAATTGAAGGTGATTTCACAGCAATACCACAACCCCACAGCACTGTGCACTGCTCTTGTGGAACATCTGCCTTTAAATCCCCACCAGACAGTTTCCTGAGGAGTTCTAGTCAGTGTATGCTCCTGATAGCACCCAGTCAGGTCAGACTGTTTGCAGCACAACACCTCTCAAGCAGTCCAATAATTCCAATTACTAGCAAGTTATTTGGTTCCTTTGGTCAATAACTTTGTTTTAAAGTATTAAAAAACTTTTTGGTTTTTGTCAAGGAGAAACATAAAGCTGACAACTGCACAGTTACATTTTCAAAATTTAGCACTGGAAGGGCACTGGCCACTCAATTATTTTTTGGCTTTTCAGTACACTCCTACATACAAAGCACTTCAGTTCTACAAGCTGTGTTTGTTATCACAAGCCTTTCTGCAAAGATCATTGTTGCTCATAGACAGAAAGAGAAGTAAAATAACTAATTTCTCTGAAGTCACACAACAAGTCTGGCAAAACAACAGGGTCCAAACTCAGCTCCTCCATATCAGCCATATTAAACATTTTGATCTCCTAAATCTCAGAAGTGTAAGCAAGTCTATAGTTCCTTAAAATCTCAGATTCCTTTTCTGAACAGTCACACAGTCCCAATGTTGACTTTATCGTGAAGGCATTCAGCATATTTTCAAGATTGAGCAGAACAAGCAACTTTCACACAGGTGAGCTTGTTGTCTTTCTGACCCATCTTCTACCTCACAGTCTTTTGATGGTCATCATAACTAGGGAGGGCACTTAAAAAGCCAGTACAAACTGGTACCTGCCACCTTCCGCAGCAATCCCATCCCAACAGAGCAAAACAGGATATGCAGTAAAAAAACAGATTTGTACTCTTCAAAAAGGAAGTGAATGGAAGGAACAAGTAGAGCAAGTAAAGTTAAACGTCCATGTAAAAATCAATTCAACCTGAAAAGACAGTATGAAAAGTCCATTCCCGCTCTATACTCTAAATATTCCAGTATTTAAAATACAGGAACTAAATACATTTTCTTTCCCTTAAGGTTTTTCTTAGTCAACATCTACAAATACTGCACCTACCTGCTCAGATCTCTGCACTCTGGGTATCTTCTATCATTATAGAAGATGCCTTCAAAATAGAAGAAAGCAGATTTGTAGAGATCCTGAGAGACAGAGAGAACTGTTTGTAACACTACTGTCTCATAACATTAGTGTTATGAGAGACTAAACACCTTAAACAAGAACATGTCAAAAATCCAAGTATTTTAGGTATCTAAATTATATTAAGAAACCTCATTCTACAGGTTTCTAATAAAAGTTTTGGACTGATTTTAAATGCTGATGTGACAACTAGACTTATATGATTTCCATCTATGCAGCTACTCTCCTGATACTGTTCTCCAGCCACAGGTTACTTTAGTGCTTTTCTCTGATTTCTCTCCCTATCATAGCAGTTACAAAAACATAAAACAAGAACATAAGCATCACTGCACAAATTAGGTAATTGCATGGCACCAATTTCAAAAAAGACTAATAATATTTTTTAAAATATCAGCAAGGTGTTGACCTTGGCTGGCTACCCAGTTGCTTTTTCACTCCTCTTCCCCAACAGGACTGGAGAAAGAAAATAAAACAGGCAAGCTTGTGGGTTGAGATAAAGGCAGTATAATGAGAAAAAGCAAAGGCTGCATACAGAAGAAAAGTAAAAAAAAGGAGATTTTTGGTCAGGCATTGGAATAAGCTGCTCAGGGAAGTGGTGGAATCGCCATCCCTGGGAATGTTGGAAAGGTGTGCATGTGGCACTTGGAGATATGGCTTAGTGGAGAACATAGGTTAATGGTCAGTTCAGCTTCTGCAGTTGATTTGGAATCTGGTGACTCTTGCACTGCTGGTACAAGTTCCGTGAACTGTTAATTACTTTTGACAGAGGAGAATGGTACAAATGGACTGCCTGCATGTGACAAGCTACATAATTAAGGAAGAATTTTCAAGGATGCTAGATTTTCTTCTGAGACCCTAGAAGTGACTGGACATTCCAAAACTGCATGTCTGTCTTGTTTATATAGATGTGACCAGGGAGTGCTCCCATGTCATGGTTGTGCGTTTGTTTGTGTGTGTGCATGCAGGGCCCAGGACTGCAATAATTCTCTGTCATTTCAGCAAAAAGTACTTTGTGTCCTGATCAGCTGCACTGGGTCAGGCTGGGATGGAGTCAAGCTTCTCTCCACAGCAGTCCATGTAGTGCGTGCTCTGCATTTTTGGTTAGGTAGACTTGATAATACACTGCTGAGCAGTGCTCGCACAGCTTCAAGGCTGTCTCTCCAGGCCTCCCAAGGCCAGTGGGCTGGAGCTGTGCAAGAGGCTGAGAGGGAATATATTTGGGAGAGCTGATCCAAACTGACCCAAAGGCCATCCCATGTTACATGATGCTGCGATCAGCAGAGAACTGGAGGGAAAGAGGCAGGGGCCATTAATGGTAAAAGAATTTGTCTTCCAAAGCAACAACTATGCATGGTGAGACCCTGCGTCCTAGGAATTGGTTGGACATAGAATCATAAAGGTTGTAAATGACCTCTAAGATCATAAGTCGAATCATTAACCCAGCCTATGTTCATGCACATGTTCAGCACTAAACTATGTCCCCAAGTGCCATATCCACACATTTTTTGAATGCTTTCAGGGATAGTGACTCCACCACTTCCCTGGGTAGCCTCTTCCAATGTCTGACTGCGGGGAGGAAGGAGCTGAAAACGTAAGATTAGCAAGGTGAAAAGATATCAAATAATGATGTTTTTCTTGACATAGCACAAAACAGGTCATCTTAGTAATGCTACAGGATGGACAAGGGATCAGACCCAGCCAGCACAGGCTTAGGAGGGGCAGGTCCTGTCTGACCAACCTGATCTCCTTTTGTAACCAGGTGACCCACCTGGTGGATGAGGGGAAGGCTGCAGATGTGGTCTATCTGGACTTCAGCAAAGCCTTTGACACCATCTCCCATAGCATTCTCCTGGAAAAGCTGGCAGCCCATGGCTTGGACAGGGGCACTCTGTGCTGGGTTAGGAACTGGCTGGAGGGCCGGGCCCAGAGAGTGGTGGTGAATGGGTGCTGCATCCAGTTGGTGGCTGGTCACTAGTGGTATCCCCCAGGGATCAGTGTTGGGCCTAGTCCTGTTTAATATCTTTATTGATGATCTGGATGAGGGGACTGAGTCCACCATTAGCAAATTTGCAGATGACACCAAGTTGGAGGGGACTGTCGATCAGCTGGAAGGCAGGAGGGCTCTGCAGAGGGACCTGGACAGACTGGAGAGTTGGGCTGATTCCAACAGGACAAGGTTCAGCAAGGCCAAGTGCCGGGTCCTGCACTTTGGCCACAACAACCCCATGCAGCACTACAGGCTGGGCACAGAGTGGCTGGAGAGCAGCCAGGCAGAAAAGGACCTGGGAGTTTGGATTGACAGGAAGCTGAACATGAGCCAGCAGTGTGCCCAGCTGGCCAAGAAGGCCAATGGCATCCTGGCCTGGATCAGGAACAGTGTGGCCAGCAGGAGCAGGGGAGTGATTCTTCTCCTGTCCTCAGCACTGGTGAGGCCACACCTGGAGTACTGTGTCCAGTTCTGGGCCCCTCACTTCAGGAAGGATATTGACGTGCTGGAGCAGGTCCAGAGAAAAGCAACGAGGCTGGTGAAGGGACTCGAGCACAAGTCCTATGAGGAGAGGCTGAGGGAGCTGGGGTTGTTTAGCCTGGAGAAGAGGAGGCTCAGGGGAGACCTCATCACTCTCTACAACTACCTGAAAGGAGGTCGTAGCCAGGTGGGCATCAGTCTCTTCTTCCAAGCAACCAGCAGTACGACAAGAGGGCATGGTCTTAAGCTGTGCCATATTAGGAGGCAATTCTTTACAGAGGGGGTAATCAGACATTGGAATGGGCTGCCCAGGGAAGTGGTGGATTCACCATCCCTGGAGGTTTTTTAGATGAGACTGGATGTGGCACTTAGTGCCATGGTCTGTAACCATGGCAGTGTTGGATCAAGGGTTGGACTTGATGATCTCAGAGGTCCTTTCCAACCCAGCTAATCCTATGATTTTATGATTCTATTTACTTGCAGTGCAACCAACAGGCAATGCAGGTGAATGTAGTGCTGAATAAAAACAACAAAACAAAACTCTATCTCCCTCTCTCCTGCATGTTTTCAAAACTCCTTTACGGGTAGAAGTTTCCACATAGAAAATTTTACCTTGCTGATGTGTTCTGGTGCTTGGTCTGGCTGACTACTGAACTCACCACCTATCTGGAGGTCACTGACACAAGAAATCGAGTCTCTCAGCTCAGTGAGCTTCTGGCTGCCCAGTACAAGGACTGTTTGATAGGGTTTGTGATCTTTATGCTACAAAGGAAACAGCATACAAGATTCAGATAAATTATTACTTGTCAGCATCAGCACTGCTCTTCAGTTGGCAGCGTATGGTGCATCACTTCTCTGTATGAGATTTTAAACAGCATCTAGCCTCAGCTTCTCCTAAGACTGACATTTATTAGTTATATTCAGAAACTCAAAAGTCACATTCTCCACTGCAAAGGAAAGATAGAAAGTCTGAGCTCATTTAACAAATCCAGAAAGACTACTTTAGTTTTCATGTATTTAGTTTCAGATTTTGAGCTTTCTGTGAAATAAATTAACTACTGAGTAATTACTGTAAAAGTTTCGTTCTGTAAACCACTAACAGAATGAAAGCCAGATTCTGAAAAGCCTTAAGAAATTACCACAGTTGAAGGGTTTACTACACATCTTCAGTGGACTTAGGAAAGCAATATTACTTGACTAGGGAACAGACATCAGAATACAACCTAGAGAATTTAGTACCAACCTTCTGAAATATAACAGGATAGAAGATGTTCAGAGTTAAAAGTAGTTCTCCTTCCTCAACTATATCTGTTGGATTGTCTGGCCTCTTTCCAATTGCATGTGACTCCTGGAAAAATATATACATACACATACATATACTATATTGGCAATCACAAAAAGATCAGAGCTTCTGGATAAAAGTCTGAGAAATGCTGTTCTAACCACCTCGGTTTTGACTATGTAGCCTTCTGAATTGAAAACAGTCCACTTCCTCCAAGATGGCAAAGTGAGAAACTGCTCTAATTACCAGTTTCAAGCATGTTCCTTCATTTCTCAGCTTTGCTACAAGATATCTGGCTACTCCTTGGCTACGGAGAGGACCTGCATGAAGTAATTAGAGCCTGCTGTCAATCTCCCCTCATGGAACCCAGCTGCTACCAACTTCCACTGCTTAATGCTTTGAAATGCTCCTTGAATACTTTCATATGTAAAGGGAGATTGCAACCCTCAAAATGAGAAACACTAACCTAGAAACCAGTCACAGGAAGAAGTACATGAAAATTAAAATTAGTGCAACACTTCCTCTTATTGGGGAAGCTAGACATAGCTGAAGGCCACAATTTCTCCAAAATCCAAACTCAAAACCCAGCACTGCCCTTGCCACACTACTATGTTTTAGAAAAGAAGTAAAAGCATCTCTACATTTCCATGCTACTTTGTGTTAAGACATAGCCCAGCTGTAAGAATGAGAGAGAGCACTTTCATGTGGCAGTTTCCTCCTTTTTCAACAAATCAAGAGAAAATACTGACTGCACAAGCACTTCCCACTAGCATGGACTGTTCCTCAAATTTTGTAAGAGGAACATGTACTCCTGTGAGACTTCAGAGATACTTGGACTCTGTTGCTTCCATCTCTCTTCTTCATGCAAGACGTTCCAAACTCGTGTTTCTTACTGTTCTCATCCTGTACAAGGACACCAATCAGCTCTGACACACAAACCAGTTACCACTGCTTGCTTAAAGGATGCAATAACTGACCACGTGCTCATTCTTCAGAAATAGTAGTAAGACACCACTCACTGAAAGCCTTTATGAAGGTTTCTGTTGCAAATATTTTGTCACATATTCCTCAGGCTAAGAGCACAGCATAGCTGTTGCATCATGCTGTTTACATAATGTGCCTGAGTCTGTGAACAGCTGAAACATGATAACTCATAACAGACCAGGAAACGTCAAGGGGAAAAAATGTTTAGGAGTCACATGAGGCTCCTTCCTCACTATACCTCTGTCCCTAATTTTTTCAGTAATTCATGGCTTGCTTGTTCCAGTCATGGACTTCAGCACTTCGCTGTACCTGGAAGAGTTCAAAGAATGTTTAGATGTGGTGCTTAGGGACATGATTTAGTGGCGGACCTGTCAGCGTTAAGGTAATGGTTGGGCTCGATGATCTTAGATGACTTTTCCAACCTTAATGATTCTATGAATCTATGAAAATTTATGAAATTAAATTTTCCTGTTTATGATTTCAATGACTGTGAGGAAATCATAAAAAAAGGTACTAAACACAATTAAAGAAATTCCCATATGCCTTTTGAGGGGTTGATTACTACACTTCTGTTTCCTGACAGTTCAAAATGGCTGAAAAACTTGCGTTACAAAGCTCAGAATTAGAAATTTACTGCCACCATGCTGCCACTATCTTCCTCTTTCAGCCCTACAGAAACTAGCTCACCAAAACATTAAAGCTTTGTTTCCAACACAGGACTCCAGGAGCAAAACCACTATGCATTTTATCTAGCTCTATGATAAGTTCACGTGATACCCAGCATACTTGATCCTCTACAAAAGGCTTCGGTATTAACCAAATAAAAGTAGTCATACAGTGATAATGAGCTGGAATTCCTCCTTAACTTGGTTCTAATCACCTCTAAAGAGCAGATTTCCTATCTTATCTTTCTATAAAATGTCTTTAACCTTAATCATTACCTGCAAACTTGTATCTGCAAACCAACCTTTTCAGTGTACATTTCATAGTGACAGAAGTTGGATTTTGGCTGTCTTGAGAGCCTGTGAGGTGACAGGGAACTTACCATCTCATAGGCAAGAGTTTCTTGTCTGCAAGCCCGATCCACAATAATTGTTTCTCCTCTCCTCTCTAAGGCCTTCTTTCTAATTCTGAGGGGCAGAAACACAATACAAAATTTCATTCAACAACTTCCATGCAGAATCTCTAGGTATATTTTTAAATGACATCAGCTACCACAGAGCAGCTTTCGAAGAGCAAGATTCCTGTCTGTCTTAGTATGACAGACTAACTTAAAATACTAGTCTCCCAACTCTCATAAAACCTGATAGCGCACAGGCCAGCTTGTTGACTTCAGCTTGTGTTTCTCTTTCCCCTTATGTGCAAGTTACAGGTTGTTTGAGGGCAGTTTTATATTTACAAGAAATAACAGCAAAATGTTGTTTGAAGAGGCTGTTTAGAAAAGAACACTTTGCTACCTTTGAGGAAGCTGTTTCAACTATCCCTTCCACACTTCAAAAAACCTGGATTCATGTTCTAGCAAAACACAAGGAAAAAAAACCCCACAAATATTCTCAGCCCCATGGCATAGACTTTAAAACAATCAAAAAAACTTCAGTATCATTTGTAGAAGAAAGAGTATCATACACAGAATACCTACTAAAATACATATATTTAACCACTGCATGAACAATTCCTTAACTTCCAGGACAAGTCCACTTACCCTCTAAACCTTCCTAATGGTTTTCAGTAACAATCAGACTTAATACTGATCACAATCTTAACATATTTCTTTACATTAGTACTATGTAAAATACAGCAAATCCCTGAACTGGCCAAGTAGTTCAAAGTTCTCTAACTGATGGAAACTTAATATATATTGCTTAACCTCTGAAATGCACTAGTAGTATCAATGAATTCTATACAGAGTGGGTTCAGATAACCTCTTTATCTGGTTACTGCATCAGTACTTAACACTCTGGCTGTTTCAATGTGACTTTGCGTTAATAAAGGCAAAACCTACATACTTCTTTCATAAGGCCTTGGAGAGGAACCTCACACACATGATTATGAGAAGTCCTCTGCATGCTCCAAACTTGGTTATTATTTAAAAAGTATTTAGGTCCAGAAATCCTAAGCTTTTCCATTATGTTCCAAAGACGGAACATTCTATATATCTTAATAAAAAATTCCTAGGCAACATTCAAGCAGAAGGCTCATACTAATTATCCTATCACAATCTGGTGTTTCCGGCCTTAGAGTTTTTCTGCACACATTCTCAGAAAACACACCATTGCATGGAAAGAGAACAAGCAGCCAGCCATACTTTTGTGCTTGTTTTCAACTCCACCCCAAATAAGGGTAGTGTGAGTGTACCATAACAACATACCGAAGAGTTAGCAGACTGCTATCTTCAGAAATAACATCTGGGTCCTCTTCTTTATCAGAAGACATTAACATATCAATGCTAGAAAAAAAAAGAAAATAACTATTATACATTTTTTCTTACCTCATTACAAAAATCAGTTAATCTCTTGTCATGGTTTGAGAGCCCTAAAATCCAATTCCCTAGTTCTAGCCCCCCTCCCACATCTCAACCCAGTGTGAGATGGGTTTTCCAGACACCATATGAGATTCAAAATGGGGGGAAGGGTTATATTACAAGACTGTACACATAAATAAATACTATAATACATCACACACACAATCTCAACTATCTCTACTATGATAAAGCAGTATTTACAATGGATCAAATCTCTTTTCCCTTCCAAATAAAAGTCCAGGAGGGAAGAAGGAAAAGATCCTTTCCACTCTTAGAGCAGCAGTCCCTAGGGCAGCAGTTTCTCTCTGTCCTCCATGCAGCAGCTGTAGCTGGATCTCTGCCAGTACACACAAAGGGGGTATCCAAGCCCCTCGGCCCTTCGACTCCAAGCGAAGGGTCTTCCGTGGGCTGCATTCACCCAAAGGTCGCTCCACCACGGTCATATCACGAAGCGCAGGGGTCTTCACGACGGTCTGTATCTTCAGGGGATTCAAGCCCCATTTGCAGAGCTTTCCGTGCTCTGCCTCAAGCTGGCTGCTAGCTTAGCTTAGCTTAGCAGCTGCTGTAGCACTCTGAGACTCTTCTCAAGCAAGAGTCCATCTCCCTCCTCCTAGGAGGGGTCTCAAAGGAGTTTGGGGGAGTTTTGGTTGCAGTCCTTACCCCAAACTCTCTCTCTGTAGTGACTTAGTTCTCTTTCTGCTGCTGCTTTCCTTTTCTTCAGACAACTCTGTGTCTCTTTGCTTAGCTGCATCTTGTCTCTAGCTGCTTGCTCTTATCTCTTGGCTCTCTGCCACTGCTTCTCGGTCAGTGCTGTTTTGCCGCTGCTCCCTTTGCTGCTCCCGGTGCAGAAGCTTCCCCCAGCTTTCAGCTACAGATACTCAGTCCAGTTTTAACACTGTTCCAAGTCCCTGTAGCCCCCAACTGGGGGCTGGGGGCTGTGGCCCCCCAGAGGGGCTCCTGCCCCTTCCTCGTGGCTCACAACATGGCTACTTCTCCAACAACAACTACTACAAGTACTTTCTTTTCCGGTCTGAGTGATATGTTTATGTTTTGCAGGAGCGCTCATTGGCTTAACCCCAGGGTCACCACCCCCTGGGGGTTTACCATTTTGTACCTCTAGGGGGGAAAACTGTTCCCCCCTTAAAAGGAAAAAAGAGAGCAAAATGTGAATAAACAAGATATAGCTTTTATAGCCTAAATCAGGGCAAAAGGGCAGTATGGTTGTTAAGATAAAGAACCAGAAGACTTTATATCTGGCCTTTATATCTGGCCTTTATATTTGGTTTTCACAGAGATTGGGTAAATCCTATCTCTATTTTGCATTCTGTCTAATGGAGCACAGCTGCCTCCAGAGATTTAACAAGCTCTCTAAGTTCAACATGTGCGTCAAATACCTTGTATGAACTACAAATGCCACTTTTTCAAATCCTGTGCACCTACTCTGATGTTCTGATGATATATGGCACAAGAGATTCAATCGAAACGAATTAAGAACCTCAATGTGTATGGCAAAGCTAATACCCCTGCTCAAGTACAAACATAGGCAAGCCACCACTTGTAGAGCTGTTGTAGCTCTATTAAGGCACTAATTTATGCCCCATTTCTTCCAGTAGGAGTATGACAATACTTCTTCCAGAAGCAACAGGTCCACTCTACCTTGTATCCTCTTTTCTATCCTCAGCCCCTTTTCATCCTCACTTTTCTTGTGTTTGCAAAGATCCACAAACAGATTAAGTGATGCAGGTTTCAGATGAGTCATATTAATAATATCAATCACCTTTTTACAAACATACAGAGTAATTCTGACTCAAAGTTAGTCAGAATTCTATTAGTTTCATAGAATCACTGAATCATGGAATGGTTTGGGTTGGAAGAGACCTTAAAGATCATATAGTTCTAACCCCCACACCAACGGCAGGACCACCTTCTACTAGACCAGGTTGCTCAGGGCCCCATTCAGCCTGGCCTCAAACACTTCTAGGGATGGGGCATCCACGGTTTCTCTGGGCAACCTGTTCCAGTGCCTCACCATCCTCAAAGTAAAGAACTTCTTCCTAATAACTAATCTAAATCTACAGTTATCCTCTTTGATTTCTCATGGTCTGTGGAATGGCAGAAGTATGAGAGGCAGGAACCTGAAGGTGGCTTCACCACCAGGTTCCATTTATGGGTTCCCATTTCAGGTTGTACAGTGTTGCACACCAGATGCAGGGGAATCATATATGCAATCCCTCTGCAGTCCTTCCCAGGAGCATTTTCTATTAATCACAAAAGAATTTTATCAAGCTTAAAAATAGTCTGAGAAAAAAATATTTAAAACGGAGAAATATCACCTGCTTTGAATCAGACTCAATTGCTTTTGTCTCTCCATTTTCGCACACGATATAAGTGCAGGGCTTATACCACTGCCTAAGTCAACCTACAGTTTGAATCCAAGCAAACTCTTGTACAAACCCATTTCTTTGTGGGACAAACAAATTACTAGTGAAGTCCAGGAAAAACGTTTGGACTGTACAATTTATTCTCAATACAATTTATTATTTCATTACATTTGTCTTCATTATAATCTTATAATGTTCCCCATGTCAACAATGCTGTAATGAATAACCCTTTAGAGTCGAAATGCGCAGGAATATGCCGTGATTGAGAAATAGAAGTCTGGAATCAACCATTACCAGCTGACAATAAGTAGAAGTCAGACAAAAGTCAGGTTGTGCATAGATGGCCTCGTTCTAAGGAGCCAATAGAGTCACTTTGTATTCACAATAATTTGAATCTATTATTGTTTAGTTAGTTTCTTACCATCCAACAGTATACAAAGTTTTAACCTTTCTGTTTCACAGATTTCATCCCAAAAAGAAAATAAATTTTTTTAAGTTACTGAGAAAAGGGGATTCATTCAGAAGCACCATTTTAAAAGGAACTATGCAGCAATTAGCTACAACCTCCTGGAAACAGAATCGACTTAGATTCTCACTTGAGGAAGTGGAGGCAGAAACAACTGAGTCATGTATTAAGTGCAGAATGAACCACAGCTGAGAAACAGTAATTTAACTAACATAAAGAAGGAGAACAGCACTTTGGAGAATACAGTTCAAGCACTAGCCTTTCAAATGGGGCAGTTCTCCATGCAGCATAGAGTCATGTTATGAACAGCTTACCTAATGAAGGAAAACATATCCCCCAACTCACAAAGCAACTCACAACTCACCCTTTCTGTAGAACTGACAGCATGACTAGACTATTTAAGTCTTCCTGCACATGGATCAGTGATCCCATTCACCAAAGAGCCCTTGTCACTTGAAGACCTACCATTTTGAAAAAATGACTATGTATTCAGTTCTTTAAACATCACATATGTTACTTGCATTGAAAATGTCTGTTACCTATCATTGTGAAGTTTCACTTGCATCAAAGGTGACAGTTTCCCATTTCCCTTCTGTGCATACAATGTCAGAACTCACCATCAGTACTTGTGCCTTCCTTCCTTCCACTGCCCTAGGCCAGGGATTTCTGGCTGTAGCATCCACACCATGCTCACTAATTGCCTGTCTCAGGAAAGTAACAAACATTCCCCAGAAAGCAGGGAATTACACCACAATAGACACTGTGTAAAGTACTTGGCATGTAAGTTGCTTCTTCTCTATCCTTGTAAGGACAGAAAGGTAGCTAGTGCAAAGAGGAACTGCCACTGAACTCCTGACAAGTTTCATGGACCCTTCCAAGCCCTGATACCACCATTTCTCACTCCTGAAAAGTCAGAAACCCTCAATTTCTAAAGGAAAAGCCATTATTAAAGATCAGTCTAATAATTCATTACATATGAATTGTAATCACGTGCACTGAAGCCTTGAAAGACTATGCTACAGTATGGCCTTACACACAGGCCACACTGGAGCTCCTCCTGAGTAACTCCACTGCTGCCAATGGAACCACACAACCAATATTTGGTCCACGGTCCTGAGGAAACCAGGCTTTACAAATGGAAATTATATGCTAAACCCTCCAGAAATTAAGGCTAAGTAATCAGTGCCATATATCTAAGAGACAAAAGTGCAGGCAATACAAAGTTTGCACTGGGCACCCCTCACTCCTGACTGCCACAAGCAAGGCATAGTACAGTGTCCCCACAGAGACTATTCTCTGTGCAAGACAGATACACTCAGAGCACTCCACTACAACAGCGGTGGAAGCATTTGCCACACTGTTTAATGGAATTCAAGGCGAAATGTAGTACAGTGATGAGGAACAATCACTGAAGATCTCACTTGAAAAAAAGTGCAAAGTGTTACATGAATTTATGTCTCCTTGAAAGATACTTTAAGGTGGCTAGAAATAAAAAGCCCAGAAGCAACTCTGTGGAAATGTGGACAAGGAAATAGACTACCAATGAAGCCTTTACCATTGCAACTTTAGTTTTCTCAGAATATTCTAGCAGCACAGTGAGTTTTCTCAGTTTTAGAAATTCAAAGATATTTTAGTATTTGGCCTGGTAGTTTTATAATAAGCAGATACAGTGTTCATATCACTATTTATACTGCACATATTTTAAAGGAGTACTTTGAGACACTAATACCACAAGATGTTGAATACTAATACGTTAAGAGGTTAATGCTGGCTTAATGTAGCTTTATAACACATCCCTAGAGATATTTACAACTACCCTTTCTAATAAAACAAGAAGGTCCATTAGGACTGAAGGGAAATAAGGTACCTGCAAGCCTCACCTCACCTAAAATCCACAGTGATTTGAGGCTTAGCCTGCCCCATACATGCACACAACAAATCACACAGAAGACAAAATAGAGTAACATAACTCAGCATCTCCAACATTTGAGAACTTCAATCAGTCAAATACCAATAATGAATCCCAAGGTAAACTTCACTCACAGACCATTGAGACATTTGAACAAAACCTAGAACTTTACTCTCCTGACACTTCGGTTATTTAAGAGAATTACTGATGGAATTTCCTAGCTAAGGACACCATTTTCACCAAAGTCCGGGGAAAATGCAACCAATTTCCATAATGATTATCTGCATACAACCTGAGCACTACGGAAGGCATTCTTACTGAGTCAAATGCAAATGAGTGAAGAAGGAAACTTTTTCCTGCATTCTGTTTGCAGGAATGTATTACAGAAAAAAATAGAAGAAAATAAAATAAATAAACTAAAAAAAAAAAAAAAAAACAACAACCACAAAACACTGAGATGCCCAAAGAGTTAAACAGCATTTAAACATTACACCATTGCTCCTCACCAGAAGACTCTGAATTGTCAAAATACTTAAGTGTACACTATGTCACTATATTCTAAAAAATATTTAACTGTGGATATCGAAAAACTTCATTCTGAGTCCATGAAAGATTCTCTTAATCTAACACTTTTAAAAATAGATATAGGAGTATCCACATCTTCTCTCTCTTCTACCCAGAGAAAACCTCCTTAATTTGTCAGAAGTTCCCTTAGAAATAATTCACAGTCAGAAAAATCTGTGTTTATATCCAGCATGTGTTCATTTCAGCACCTATAAAGTTATATTTATGCCAGTAATGTGACTCCAGGATATCAGAATAGATCTTAGTGTAGCCCATTGTCCTCATCTCTCCTCGGGGGAGGAATATGAGCAGCTCAGAGAAGGCAAGTGAAAGGGATCAGAGGTAGTGATTTGAGGTTGGCCAATGTTAAGGAGAGACTCAAGAGGCTAGGGCTATTTAATTTAAAAGCAAAAGTACATGAAGATTAGGGATTGGGATTTCCAGCCTGCACAGGGGAAAGGTCACACCAGGATGTGCAGGTTTATCTTCATTCTCCTGCAAAGCCAACAAACAGCTGCCAGAAGATCAGTTCTCTCCCCCTCATAGACTGCCAGTCCTTTTTCCCAAATGACCAATTTTCACTGTACACGCAGCATCAAACAGACAGCATCGCTCTGTAACACTAGCAAATGCAGACAGCAGGTGAAATGCAGCAGTTGTAAACTGAAGAAAGCAGAACAGAAGAAAAAAACAAAATGAATGCAGGGAAAAATAGAGAAAGCATGGAAGACCAGCTTGGAATTCAAATGAAAATAGCAACAGACAGGATCAAGCAATACCATCACTGCAGAGAATAAGCTGCAGCACAGGAGCCATCAAGAGACTATCCCATCTACACTGGGAGAGCTTAGAGAACAACTCCTAAAGTTCCTGCACAGCAGAATACATTCCTTTAAAACTAATGTCAGCCTCTCCTTTTACTAAGCCTAAATGGTAAAAAATTATGCTAGTCACCAGAACTCTGACAGCTGAAGCACAAAGCTGTACAGACAGGAACAGAACTCTGGCATATCTTCCTTACTGATGAGCTGCAGATAAATTGCGACATGTGATGCTTTCTACAGGAATTACTTCCTGAAATCAGGCCTCTTCTACAGGTGAGAGATGAGTCTCACTATCCATGTGACCTGAAAGCCTTCCAGCTATAGCATGTTACACGCTGCTGCTTCAACCCACAAAAAGCACTCGCATAGCTCTTGACTTCACCACCAGCCCTGAATAAAACAGGTCAATGGGAACTAAGGACCCAGAGAAGGTCAACAGGTACTGACTGTATGCTGCCAAGCTATCTGAACTCATCTAAATGATGTTTCCAAGGGATTCAAACTGAAAGAGTAGGTTTAGATTAGATATTAGGAAGAAATTCTTTACTATGAGGGTGGTGAGGTGCTGGAGCAGGTTGCCCAGACATGATGTGGATGCCCCATCCCTGGAAGTGTTCAAGGACAGGCTAAACAGAGCTCTGAGTAACCTGTTCTAGTGGTAGGCACCCCTGCCCATGGCATGGAAATTGGAATGAGATGATCTTTAAGGTTCCTTCCAACCCAAGCCATTCTGCGATTTTATGATTCCATGTTAATACAAACTTATTTCTTCATATAAGGTATATGCTTCATTTTGCAACTGGGGCTTCCTAAAACCACAAAGATGTTCAGATACCTTAAGTTTTACCCAAACAGTACTATGCTGCTAAGTATTCACCTATGTAACTTCTTAAGCACTGAACTGTTTGGTCACAAATTCAAGGCCATAACATAAAATTTCCACCAGTTGAGCACTATTCTCCAGAAAAACTGTTTTCCTTCTCCTCTGCAAATCTGGCCCACAGGGACATCAGCAAGAGACCCTTTGTCAGGAACTGTAGTGACAGGACAAGGAGTAATGGTACAAATTGAAAGAGGGGGAATTTATATTAAACATTAGGCATAAATTCTTTACTGTGAGAGTGGTGAGACACTGGAACAGCTTGTCCAGGGAGGCTGTGGATGCCGGAACTCTGGCAGTGTTCAAGGACAGGTTGGATGGGGCTCTGAGCAACCTGGTCTGATGAAAGGTGTTCCTGCACATGGCATAGGGGTTAGTAGTATATGGTCTGTAAGGTCCACTGACTCCTTAACATTCTATGATTTACCTGGGCGTTAAACACACGGCAAAGGCCCCGAAAAGGCTGCTCTGAACCGGGTTTACTAGTGCACCTCCCACCTCTCTTGAGGAACCGCTGCGGCATCTAAGGGATGGCACCGACCACCTCCCGCCACAGGCGTCCCGCTCGCACCGGCGCCGTAAATCCCCGCCTGGAGACAGCCGGGACTTTCCCACCTGCAGACGGCGCGCAGCTCGGCCGCCGTGTCCGCCGCGCAGCCCAGCTCCGCCGCCACGGCCGCGTCTGCCTCCTCCTTCTCCTCCTGCGCCTCGGCCAGTGAGAGGTCGGGCGCGCCGAGCTGCCGCCGCCACCCGCGGCCTAGCGCATCCACGCGGAACGCGCGCGTGCACAGCTCCGCAGACTCGTACTCGGGTGCCACCTCCGCCATCGCCGCCATCGCCGCCATCGCCGCCGGGACCGCGGGCCGCGCCACCACCGCCGCGCGCGTCACAGGCTGCGGGCGGGGCTGCCGGGCGGGCTGAGGGCGAGCACCGCCCCAGGGGCGGTGAGTGGCTGGTGAGGGTGGTGCGCCACTGAGGTGATGACGCGGTGCTCCCAGGCGGGAAAGCACCCGGCAGCGTTCACTTGGGAAAAAAAAAAACCAAACCAAACCACCAAAAAAAACCCCAAAAACAAACAAAACAAAAAAAAAACACGGAAGAAATAACTTCTTAAGTCGTTAGAACCGCGCCGTGTGCGTGGTTTTACAACGGTACAAACACTTTCACACGGAATCAAGAATCACATAGGTTGGAAAAGACCTCTCATCATAGACCTGTGATCTAACACCACCACTTCAACTAGACCATGGCACTAAGTGCCACATCCAGTCTTTCCTTAAACACCTCCAGGGACGGTGAATCCGCCACTTCCCTGGGCAGCCCATTCCGATATCTGATCACCCCTTCTGTTAAGAAATTCTTCCTGATGTCCAACCTAAACCTTCCCTGGTGCAGCTTAATACTATGACCTCTCATCTTATTGCCAGCTACCTGGGAGAAAAGACTGACTCCCACCCTGCTATGACCTCTTTTCATTCTACTTTATTGAAAAATCACATTTTTTCCTCCCAAAGTGAAAACTTAATGCCTTGGAAACCTTTCCTTTTACAGCATTAAGGTGCTTTATAGTATGATGAACAAGGTTGATGAAATACATAACCTTTTACTTTACTAGCACTAGTCATATTAAAGCATGTGCCAACCACCCGGAATGCCCATTGGAATAGTGTGACGAAGCTACCATGAGCACAACCTGTTAAGAAAGAGGCAGAAGTAATCTGAATTGAGCTAACCTGATACACTTGTTACATGTACCAGTTGAACCACAGCCTTCGCACTTGCTTCAGGCCAAAATATTCATGGAATCACAGATTCACAGAATGGTTTGGGTTGGAAGAGACCTTAAAGATCATCTGGTTACAACTCCCTTGCCATTGTCAGGGACACCTTCCATTAGACCAAGTTGCTCAAAGCCCTATCCAGACCAGTCTTGAACATCTCCAGGGATGGGGCATCCACAGCTCCAGCACCTCACCACCCTCATAGTAAAGAATTTCTTCCTAACATCTAATCTAAACTTGCCCTCTTTCAGTTTAAAACCATTGCCTCTTGCCCTGTCACTATCTGCCTGTATAAAAACTCCTTCTCTTTCCTTTTTTTAAGTCCCATTCATGTTCTGGAAGGCTATGATGAAGGCTCCCTAAGCCTTCTCCTCTCCATGCTGAACAACCCCAGCTCTTACTTCTCTATAAAAGAAAATAAAACTCAAAGAAAAGGCATGTTAGCAGGTGGGTTGTTGCAGCCAGGGGTGAAGATAAGACCAGAAAAATTTCATTAAAGGAAACTGGGTCTTTGCAAGCTGTGTGGAAAGGACAGGATGCCAAGAGAGAAGGTGGTCATGACAGTTGCCTGCAGTTTCATAAAGGAAAGTAATAAAGGGGGAGGTAAGAATGTAATAGCCCAGCTAGATGATATAAGAGTGTATTTTGCATGTTTTAGCAATAACAGAATGGTGTAAAGCCCTTCCAACTTCCCCACTTAACATTTGTACTGCAAGTATGTTTATACTTGCATTGCATTTTAATGCTGAATTCTTTTATTAGCTCTCACTCACCTCTCCCTCTTAAATGCAGTTATTATTCTTCATTATGAAAATTCTGCTAAGCTTCAGCTCATTTTTTCTGTAAGTATTGACAGTCTCTGTTCTCTTCTTCAGCTACACCCTCTGCTTTCTTCATCCATCACCTCTGTGCATCTTGACACTCCCCAGCTCTCGAAGAAGCTCTTGATTAAGGGCTGTTGCCCTCCCTTCCTGTTGTATCCTCCCTGAAACCTATTGTTCCATGAGGAATTCTCATTCCAATTTTCAAGACCATGCCTGCCTTTTTGTATGTTTGTTGTTATCACCTATACTTTGTTTACGTTCTGAACATACCTTTCCCCTTTGTGTACTTGCAACGTTGCCTGAAATTGGAAAACACTCCATCACTTATCTGATGTAGCCACATCTAGGGTGGAAGTGACAGGGCTATATTGTTCTAAGTACACTGTTGATATAAACACGTAGGACCAATTTCGACCAAGAGCAGCAGGATTAAACCCTATCCTAAAAGGTATCAGGAATTTTTAGTGTTCATAGAAAGGAAATAAGATACTTATTTCAAAAATCTTCTTTGGAAATACAAACACACTAAACTATGTGGAAATCAGTGGCCTGAATTTTTTTGTATGACCACACTAAAGTGACATCACAGAATGCCCCGGCACAAGAGTGGTCATTGCCAACCACAGTGCTGTCACAGAGGCAAGTGTGCTTTGGAAGAGGCTGCTGCGCTGCAATTGTTCATTCTTTTTGGAATAAATCCTCTTGGGCTTTTCAGTTAGATTTATGAATTTCCCTCACTGCCTCTCTTCCTTCTCGCCATGGCAGGCTTGAATTTGGAGTTCTTCTGTATTAGTTAAAAAGAAAAAAAACTGTAAAGTACATAAACCTCAAGCAGGAAGACTGGATAAGTAGAAGCTCAAGGAGTAGCTAAGTTGAAAATACTAAAGCTGATTATTTTTAACTGTGAATGGATGTTTTCTGTTTCATTTCCAATCTTCAATACTAAGTAATCATATACTTACAAAGCCACTCCACTCAATCCAAATCCTCTTAAGAACAAAGAGAGCTATTTATTTTTATAGCTTGGAATTAATCTGCCCTTTATTATATACTAGGCATAAGGCACATGGGCATTTCAAGGTTTCCAAGAGGTACTTACTTTTCTCTGCTGGACAGACTTTAATAATTCAACAGTAAAGCAATGAAGGGTGTATGAAGAACTCAAGCAGTGTAAACTTGGCAGGTATTAAGCTGAGTTCTTTAAGAATTGCTGAAATCCAAAAATCATTGAAAGAACAGTGGACTTAGAGGAGTAGTGGAGATAGTACTAAAGACAGCTGGAAGACAAACTAATAAAAGCACTGTACATGCAAGAGTAGTCGAAAAAAATTGTAACTAATGTGCTACTGAAGTAATGAGGTAGCCTGTATTTTGCAGTACAGTGGTATCCTGTGAGCTTAAGAGGCTGATTTCAGAGCTTTCATGTGCACAACTACGGCTACAGTCAGTCATGCTGTGGATATATAACCATTCTGAAAAGTCAGTCCTAAATGGTCAAAGTGAAGACTAAACCTCTTAGTCTTTTATCACAAGGAACACCCTTCATTCCTTTCTCAATTCACACAGTCCCAGAAATACATAGATATTGGTGAAGCCAACCACATTCCATGGCAGTACTGAATAGTACTTGTTCTAATAGACACAATCTTAATATAATTACATGGTAATGCTTATTATAGGGTAATTTTGTGCCTTAATCATAAATCAGATTTTATGCTATTCTCTGCCCTGGCCCACATTATGGAAATTACAAAAGTCATTTAAAGTACCCTGGGCTTCCACTCCAATGCAGAATGATCACCATGATCATCAGTTAAGCTTCAACAAGAGTTTCATGACAAACAAGCTTAATGTTTGCAAGAATTAAAAAAAACTTTGGGAAACTGTTGTTAAGCATTATTTTTAATCAGTATTTTAGAATTGTCTCTCTCCTTCTTCATTACAACAAGTGCTATGGTGTGAGCTCTACAGTATCTTTGTACCTTAGCAGATAAGGAACACTGTCACTGTCTTTTAAGCACTGACTGTCTCAGCACAGCAATTACAGAGATATGGGAAGGTTCCAGGGCTGTAATTTTAGGAGATAAGGATTCAACGGCTGTCAGTTTTTTCTTTGTCATACCCTCTTCTTCTGGGCTTTGTTCTGAGGATGCAGCTGACTTCTGGACAGCAGCACCCAAAACACCGATCAAACCCAGTTGAAAGCACTCCCTCAGCCCTTCTGGACGAGAATTTTTTAACTTGGCCTAAGCTAAGCCATAGTGTTTATAGTATAATCTCACAGAGGGTTGCATCAGCCAGCCTGGTATTCACCAGGACTGGGAACAAAAGGGAAGGCCTAGCAAAGTCTGGCCTGTCACTGCTTCCAAACATGCTTCCCATGCCAGTGAACAATGGTCTGGGGATGCAATAATATTTTCATCAAAGACTCCAAAAGTTAGCCACTAGCATCTTTTACTATGACACCTGAACAGGAATGATCCATTCCTAAAATGTAATTATTGTTGGAACAAACACAACTTATGTTACTTTTACAGTAAATACAATAAAATATTAGTACACAACAAAGTGTCATAAAGGCTCTGTAGAGATCTTTATTTAAACAGGTTACATGAAAAACTGCAGGCAATTTAAAAGCTGTGTAACTAAAATAGAATTCTGTCCAAAGACAAGATAAACTCAAGGTACACAGAAACAATTAAAAAAAAAAAGGAAGGAAACATCTGTTATTGGTAATTTCTGAACTACTTCATGTCTGAATATTGCTTTTACATAACCCAGTTGAGAATAAAATGAGTACAGGATGCTTTCCTCTCATGAATGTTTATCAGTTAGATGTAGGAGGCGTGTCCAAAGGTACAGGGGGACATACCGGGGCAGGGAAGCCCAAGGGAGCATGCACCTAAATAGACAACCCCATTGGTTCTAAGGTCACATGGTATTAGGGGATAAAAGGGAGCACGAGGTTTAAATAAAGCCTCTTTGATTCCACCTTATCGGAGAGCAGACTGCTTATCTTTATCATATAAAGACCTACACACTACAGTTAGAATTATTTCCCTGAAGGGTTTTCATCTATCTCTAATGCTTGTTCCTGCCTGCCATTAAAACTGATGAAAGTTAAAGAAGACAAGTGTAAGAGAAAGATGATGACAGGGATGTATACAATCCAAACCACACCAAACAGAGGTCTAGTCTTTAGGCCTTAAATGTTGCTGAACC